CCCTACTTTAGAAGCCTGGCGGAAGAGCAAAACAGTGTAAATCACCAAGCAACGGGCCAAGCGAGATTATATAGGCCAGGTCCTTACAACAGTGACACCACCGTCAGACAGATGGCAGGTAAGAACAGCCGGGTGTCACCTGATAAATTGGTGGTTTAGCCTGGTTACGGTAGTTGCCCGGATCAAATTATCGAGCATAACGGCGAAAATCAGTAGGCTAGATGTACTTTTAGTCAGTTCAGATTTCGAACTATACTTCAATCTTAGTGAAACCTCAGGACACATTTGTTCATTCTGCTTCGAACCAGTCAGCTCATTAAACGAGTATACACTAAGTTATTTTGAACCGCTTAAGTTTCCCACCGAGTTACGTTGGTCCTCCTGATATCCTAATAATCCAGACAGAACTTGAAGCATTTAGCCAGAAATAATATACATGTTTGCTTTCAGTAGTCTAACAGTAACTCAGAAACTTACCCGGATACTCCTAATGAGATCAGGTCAATATGGTTTTCACAACCTGTAGCTTCGGTTAAGTTTGCTGGCGGAAAAACACCAGATAATCGAATTCTTTCATTACAAAACCTACCAGTACGAACAGACAGAGATATTGCTGCTGTTTATGTAGTGTGACGGTACGACTGAGAGTTTTATAGAGGTGATCCCGAATTGTCGAATGAATTTCAGCCTCGATGTGATTAGTTTCTTTTTCTATTGTTTCAAGGTTTTCGTGAGCTATTCTCGGTTTTTCTATTCAGTTGAATACATAGATTTTCCGCCTTCTATGGAAGACACAGGCGTTCTTGAAACAAAAAACTTAATCCTGTTAGTGCATTTGGGAGGTCCGCTCGCCTTAAGCAAAGCCAGCAGATTTCTGTAGAATCACGTCGTGCGCTCGGTGCGATGAACGGTGTTTGTTTGTTGTATTAGCAAACGCCCCAACAGACTGCATTTCTGAGACTGAGAAGGACAAGTTTTATCAAGATCTGTCACGACTACTTCGGTGGGTAAGGAGGACGGACATAGTAATCCTGACGAGTGATATGAATGCCATAGTTGGACGACTAGGGCCGGCAGAATCACAGTTGGGTGGTAGATATGAATTTGTTGCTGAGCGTACAGATAACAGGGACCAACATCTTGAATCGTGTGCAGGTCATCGTCTGTTCCTAGTCAGTACGAACTTCTAACACAAACGCTTCCACCTATCATAAGACAGTCGTGGAACCATATGGATATCAGTTACCGATGGAGAGACTCAGTTAAGGACCGTCGTTCCTTTTGGGGGTACGCAACTTGACTCTGATCACGCCATGGTCAAGACCCACTTAGTTCTTCGCCTTCCACCAGCACTACACGTGCCATAAAAGAGCAACTCCGTGCATCAAGTTCGAAAAGTTTCAGTGGTTGAAGAGTATCGAGCTGATCTAGCTAGGCTGCTACTGGAAACGCACAGTCATATGGACGACGAAAAGTGCTTGGATGATGAATGGAAGCGATTTAAATAAGCAATGCTTTGAGCTTTCAGAACTGTTTTTCAGCTCATCCGACTTGACTAAATGAACAGTGGATATCGTCGAGATCAGCAGATTCTATTGCTGCCAGAAAGACTACCAGCAACTGGCGACTATGGTGGCGCACTCGGATAATCAGGAGCTTCAAGAATGACAGAGAACGCTGGTGGATTTCGAAGACCTGGGAGGTGGAGGAGGCTTTCGGTGCAGAAAACAGCCGCGCTTGGTTTTAACTGATCCGATCAACCTATCAAAATAAGGCAGGTATCAATGAGACAGTATGCGAAAAAGGACTGAACAACTATTCACTCCCTCAATCGCCGTCTTGAGCGGTGAGCTAAGCACTTCACAGAACAGTCCACCTGATCTCCTTCAATACAACCGCTAGAAGAACCAGGCGGGTCTGAATGGAACGTTGACACCAATCCACAACCACCACCTAAATTCAGTGTGAGATTTCAATCCTGAAGCGCATAAAGAAACCTAGCCCGGATGGTCTACACACCGCGCACTTTAAAGGTTGTGAGATCTTGTTGAACAGCCTAACAACTTGAGGATATTGAACGAGAACAGGATACAAGTCTAATGGAGCTCCTTCACCGTCATTCCAGTTTTCAACAAGGGAGCAAGAACGTCATGTGAAAACCATCGCAGTGTCAGCCTGGTATTCGTCGCATACAAGTTGCTCTCTGGCAATAGTTTGCGTGGGTTTATGGATTATCGGGGAAGACATTCGTGGGAGTCAAGCTGGCTTTTTCCCTGACTGAGGATGCTTGACCATATCTTTGCCTTGGGAAATCTTGGACAGCGTCACGCTTCAGACGCTTTCTGAATTTTAGGCTACTTTTAATTCTGTCGATTGTCAGCAACTTTGGCAGCGTCTGGCGATCAGAAGCATCCCCTGAAATCTTGGGTGTCGAAATGCCACCGGGATGTTCTCTTACGGACTTTGAGTCTGCAGACGATAGTGCTCTTCCTAGTTCAGATCATTCTCAAATGCAAACGATTCTAAATGACCTAAATAACTATGCCGCACGGTTTGGCATGTACTTCACACCTGCAGAGTGTAACGTTCTGCTACAAGACTGGGTGGGATCAAACCCACTCCTCATGCTTGCAGGTGGGCCACTCGACGTGGTAAATAAATTTGTTTACCTAGGCAGCTTCATAAGTTCCGGTGGACTGGCTGGAGATGAGATTATTTCTCGAATCGGAAAGGCCAGGGCAGCTTTTACCCAACCTCCGACACCTATGGCGCCGACGTGACGTCGGTTTATTTATCAAGGGGAAAGTTTACACTGCGGCGGTGCGATCCGTACTATTTTATGGACCAGAAACTTGGCCCCTACGCGCAGAGGACATACGGAAGATGTCAGTATTTCATCCTCGGCGTCTCCAAAGCATTGGTCAGGTCTGGTGGGAACATTGGATTAGTAATCCTGAGGTACGCCAGATGGTCTTGGGGAGAAGGAACTCTCCTGCGATTGATGAATTACTCACGCTTCATAGGTTGTGCTGGTTGGGACTCCGCATGCCAGAAGACCGTCTGCCTCACAGAGCTCTTTTCTCCAGCCCTGTTCTCAGTGGAAGCGACTGAGTGGTGGACAGTGTATGACCTGGCAGCGAAGTACGAAAACACTAACCAGTAACCTTAGTCGGGCGAACAACTGCCGCCTCCCTGAATTGCGACCCCATTTCAGCATTGGTTAATGACACTGGCGGAAATGGCCTAGTCGAACAGCCAATGGCGCTCTTGCATCAAATCTATGCTACCCGACTTCTGAACAAACTGGTTCGCCTCCGAGACTTGGTTGTATATTGCACTTTCCCGTTTTCCGGTGGTCGAAGCTGTAGCAGCAGGGACCAGTGTGCCTTCGGCACATGGTTTATAGCTACATTAGCCATGCTGTGGTTGATGCAACTACTTTTATAGATAAGTCGAACACACACGTGCCTGAAGGGATTTTTCAGGAAGGAACTTCCTTGAATTCACATTTCTCACAAGGATTAGAAAAGTTGTGTAACATAGTATGGAATGGAGAAACCAGCCTGGTCCGTCGATCTGTACACAGACATGCATCTGTGAGTTCATTCCACGTCACATACAACTGCGGCAAAGTTGCTCAAAAATTGGAGTTCACCTATGCACATCACTAGACAGATCTACCACCCCTTTAGATGCAAAATAGTTTGCCACAACGAGCTTTGATAAGTGAAGGTCTGGAGTGAAACATTTGAATTTTTTTCGGAAGCACACTTCTTCAAATCCCTGTGTAAAATATGGATCTTTTTCGTGCCTTTATGATGTAATTTCGCTCTGTAGGCATCTGAGTGCTTTATAGACTGAAAAAAATTATCGAACCCAAACGTGTATATTTTTACTTAGGAAGCGAAAATTTCATCTATTTTCCGTTTATTAAACATATAAGAAGCAATTTTACCGAATCCAAGAGCATTTAATTTAATGGAAAACTATGGAAGTGGTCCACAGCCTACACAGGTCTAACGTAAGCCTTCACGACTGCCTAGGAAGCCCACTAAATGATGAGTACTGCTGAGGTTCTCGACTATATGCCGACCCTATGTGGTGCTGCCAATTTTGCTCAATAACGGTTGATTTCCATTGCTTGCCTCATTAGTTATGGGTAGGGTGGTTCTCGTGTCTGACTCCCGATATCACGTGATCTAGGTCACATTGACCATGCCGCGATTCACCAGTTGATTATATCACATGCGCCAGGTGCGGGCTCATATAGTTGCTACTGATTTCGCACTACCTGCAGGCCGGCGTGCTCACTCATCGACGCCACAATTATCCTTGGCCGTCACCTGATTCGGGTTTCTCCAGCATCGTCGAAACTATGAAGATATGTGTTTTATTGCAAAAGGCCTCTAGAAAGTGATGTTTTACTCATGTGTGCACGCAAAGGGTGCGTATCCACGTGTCCAATTAAGGTTTGCTCTGGATATTCGGACAACCGGGCGTAGAATATGAGGTTGCAGTCACTCGTCGCATTATGAACAGTGTTTTTATAACCCTGCCATACAACGGTAGGCTAAAAACGCATTGGTCAACTTTTGCATGTGGAAATAAACAGTGCGACGCGATGCAAATTTTAGACTGACATTTAATAGCTAATAATATATAAAATGATATCGGGACTTTTTCTCGCAATCATCAGCTGCTTCTGACGAATAGCAGGTTTCTTGAAGCTCTGCCTAGTGAGATCTCGGGGTCTAGTGTTCTAGCTCCGAATTTTAGTAATCATATTGACGCATGTTCCCTAATGTGCTCTTTTTCACTTTGCTGTAATACTGTGAGCCTCCGGTAGGTAGGCACCATACACGAATATTAAGCTGCATCGTCCAGTCGATTGTTTAGTGAGGATTGAGCTAATAGAAAAAAACCTGGTCCCACAGGAATTATTCTAAGGACGCAGTCAGTGGATTTGCGAGTTTCGTATAGGAATCGCACAAGCATAACCTCGAGATTGACCGAAATTGGACCAAATCGGATCACAATTACCTTTCTTTGTCAAGTTGATGAAACAGTAAGGCTGTGTGGAGCCGTCAAGTTACAGTGCGGTGGTATCCATGGCTGCGCTTAAAAAACGAAGATTGTGGACACTATTTTGGTCTGCAAGAAAATGTGGAAGAAACGCAGATTCGGGTATGTGGACCAACGGCCTATGCCAAAATTATACGGAGTTGATAGAGTGATCATGCTGACTTGGTCAGCGAAATTTTGCAGATTTTGTATTCACCAATAATGTTTATTTTCTTGTGAGCAAAGAGCACTTTTTCTTCAGTAGAGACACCTCAGTGTGAGTTGTTAAACCTCCACGAAAGTCCTACCGATTAATCCAAAATTTCAGTTTGTCATATGTTGCGCGGCAATATGGCAGCTGAAATATGATTTGGTGACGCACCGTTCCAAAAACTTAAGAAGCCCAACTGAACGCTCGACTACAGGCGAACTCGCAGATCCATTTATGTTCTTCTGTTGTGTAGTCACAAGGCATTGGCCACACAGCACAAGTTTGACTGGAGAATACAGGATACACCCGGAATGCATCTCATTTTCATCGTTTCTATAAATGCTTCCTTAGATTTGTCTTCTCTATCAAACCTAATTTACTCCACGTTCAACAAGAATAACTGTAAATCTGCAATCACACCGAGTTTTCTGGAAGTTCCAGAGATTTTCAAACTAACCATATGCATCCTGACACGAGCACACAAACTTAACAAAACTTTCGATATTCAGATATGTTTCCCATAATTTCCCATGTCCTATCTTGCTTAAAATGGCACATTTCGTCAGGTTTTATGCTTCCAAAGGCAAGCGGCAAACTGCAGCGGTCCTAATGACAGTCCGACTTGTTTAGAGTTTTACGTCGTGACCTGTCAGTAAATTCCAAGCCGGCCAAGAAAAAATTAATTATCATATAGTCTTGGCAGCAATCCCCAACGAGCGTCAACAAAAGCATTGTGGTCTCAAGTATGTTATCATTATCCAGTAGAACTGGACTAAACGCTATCCGGGATGTGACTAGTATTTCGTCTTGGTAAATGAGTGGCTTAAAAAACGAGACCTCCAATTTAAGGTGGACGCTACCGACCTGGTTCATCTTACCACTCACTAGGTACACCGAATAATCGCAAACCAGGTCAGCCTACGTATGCCATCTAATGGACGAAATCCAGTGAAATTTAATCACTGTGACCGATGTCTTCAAGGTCCAGCTTCGGTCAAATCCGTAATTTAGGAATTGTGTTCAGCAATTGTTTAAAAACGCCAGAAATTGAAATATATACCGACCGAAATTAAGTGAATGCATCAAATTTCCCCTTTTTTGCAGACATTTTGGCAGTTTTTCCAACTATGTCTGTGTAAAACTCTTCATAACCCAAATATAGAAACTAAACTGACGACCAGCTTCTCACATACGCCAAATTGCTGACAAAGCACTATTTCGAGATGTCTGAATCATACGTGAATTTTTGCAAAATCTTTGCGTATGCAATTATAAAAACCTTGACAGTAAATGCCGTGTGTCAGAAGGAACTGTCGGGACAAATTACCATCAATTAGATGGTCTTTCCAGTGACCTGCAATATAAAATTACATGATACTGGTGGTGGAGTAAAAAGCTGAAAGATCGCGAGTGTGTTGTGAATGTATAATTAATATGTCCAGCACAGTCGCTTTCTGGGCAGTTACAATTACTCACGAACTATTAGGCTGAAAGTTTGTTTTGTTCTGCTCAAGAAGGATTGCGCAGTGGTAGCTAAGATTAATGCTGCCTCAGAGGATATTTAACTCACACTTATATGTTTGAAGTCATAAGTTGCGGCTGCCAATGCGGTCATTGCTAGTTTGAGTAACCTATGAGGGCTAAAGTATCGCTTTGGTGTATTACTTGCTAACAAATGCCTTGCATATTAGATCTACTGATAGAGATGCGGAGAGGTTGATACTTGTCATCGTGGTGAGCTGTTTGATTGTGCCACCGCGAAAGTGGCCAGCACTGGGTTTTGTGTCTGTCCGGCGTGATTCCAAATGGGGTTACTATACGGATAGAAGAAAATGCCCCGCCTCATCTTACACGGTTCAAACTGGATGACTGAATGGCATTCCTGAGAAAACCTTAGACTAACCACAACCACGAACAAAAGGATGGTGGAAAGCCCTATTGTCTACGCCTTTTTTTTCTTGACTAAATTGGCTGTTAGGAGATATTTCACAACTCCGTTTTCTCAGCACGTCTTGATCCCGCTGATCCACTGTTGAACTCTAAGCTCAAATCAAAACAATGATTTCCGCACCTTTCTTCGAATGCTAGCCACTGCTCACTGTCTGTCTGGGCGTCACAAGTATTGAACACATGGTGGACGCTTCAGGTTTACATTGTACCATACAAGTAGCACTTGCTTCACCGCAGCTTAAATGCAAGCACGAGTTTTTTCACTACTAACTGAACTGCGGTTTAATACATCCGGGAGAACAAGGTAATTAAATCACCACTGTTTTGTATCCTCTTCCAAATATGTACTTGATCAGGTGGCCACTGTTCAGTCTATTGAAGCTCTGCGTGATGTACTGCCCTCGGTTCACCGTTTATTCGTCTTCCCCTACACAGACGGCGTTTCCTTGTTATCATATCCAGTCAGAGTGACGTAGTGTAACTTTATTTGGAAAGAAGATTAATTTTTTGGCTTTGTTGATTTTCTCCCTTCCGTAGGTTATGATCATGCGTCACTATCAACATCCGAACATCGTTGAGATGTACTCAAGCCACCTGATTGGCAATGAGTTGTGGGTTGTAATGGAATATCTGGAGGGCGGTGCATTAACGAATATCGTGGCACGTACACTGTAAGTTCACCATCAGTTAAAAGCATGCTACTCAAATTTTGCTATTCATTGAAAGTATAGTTTGGTTGCTGGAAGCTTGGAATATTCGTTTGAATACGCTGCACTCAGCAGTAACACACATTATCCGAAGTAATCACAATAACAATTGTTAGAGTGGAAGAATTCGCATTTCCATTAGGCTTCCGATTTCCTCAGTTGCCTCTTACACTCAGTTATTGGTTCACTAAATTGGACTATGTGCACTATGTGCTGTAAAGAACTTCTTAAATTCCATCTGCTTGTGACGCTGCTGTGGCAGGTCATCACTGTAGACACCTGTGCTCATTATATCAAACAACAAATTGAAATCACGGCTTAAGACCGATATACGTGGTCTATGTAACTATCTCATTATTGACCTGTTATTATTCGGTCGCGAACGTCCAATACGTTGGTTGCTTTCTCGTTTCTTCCTCACTCAGGTTAGCCATTTCTTACCTTAACTGGTCAATTTTTGTTACAACCAACTCCAAGTTTCCGGTTTTATTTCTTCCTCACAGGTTTGTGAAAAATTTGTTCCGTCAAAATAGTCGACTTTCAGTGTATTCAGTGTACATATTGCACCCAAAGGTTTCGCGGAACTCATTTTAAAATGTAGCATGTATTTCTCTTCCTTAATGCATTTGTTGAGAAGAGGAAGCTTGCCGCATTTTTCCTACGCCAAATTAGACACGACAGCACAGTTTCTTCAAAGGGAAACTAATCCCGTACTTAAGATCAACGAATGAATTTTTAGCAGTATTTAGGTCATTAATTCTCGTGAAGCATATCCATATTAAACAATGCGATGTTGGTAGGTCCCTAAGATGAAGATCCCATGTAAATCGATGGGACGTTTATCGATTGCAAGTAATGAGGTCTCTTTCCATCTGCATACCGGACAAGGCCGATGGCGATAGGAAGATGGAGATTAGTTTCCTCTGTTAGCATTATTTAGAAATTCAAATATTTCTGACTACAATTCGGTTTTCACGAGAGACTCAACTGGATTCCTCGTTTATGATGTTCTTTAATTCAATGTACTGAACAAAGGCCGCCTCTTGTTTCAGATGGTGGGCTATCCGAGATATTACAGCACATTTTCCTAAAGAAAACTACTCACATGGTTGCTGGAAAATCTTCGACCTTCTTGAAGCTCATCAAGTAGGTGTAATACTCGAGGTTTCCTCAACCACACGTTCTACCTAATTCAGATGAATCTCCCATGGAAACCAAACTGGTTTACGAATGAGTGTACTTCACTGTTTTCGTACAATTCGGGTCCAGACATAACATGATTGATGGAAAATCGGGGAAAGTGCGTACCTGGTGACTCCCCAGAAGAAACAAAAACTCGTCATGCGTTGCCAAAGAATTTTCAGCAACCTTGTGAGTAGTTCGCTTTATTGGACGGAAAAACTATTCTTTCTCAAGCAACTAATTGTAAGCGTTTGTGGCACGTAAACTTATGGTGGTATTTACCATCAGTGTGCGCATCTTCTTTGAGGAACCAAGATTTTTAGCGCTGGAATACAAAACTGGTATTTCCAGTGGTCATCAAATAGGCCTCTGTATTTTGCAGCTGTTCAGTGTACATTTGATTTAGGTTTCAAGGCTAAAGAAAAAACAGGTCCGCTTTCTTGTGTACGATGAAATTTACGATTATTATGTGTACTTAGGCTCACCTTCAGGAAAGTAAATGTCGTATTCTTTTGTCCTGTCTAGTTGGAAACCATGCAAATGTAGTAAAGCACTCATAAGCAGTAGCAAATTTTCATCAAACTCCGATGGAGCTTTGATTACCCAATTGGATGCGAGGTTTGCTTATTTAATCACAAGGAATATTCATACCTGAGTCAATCAGACTTCGTATTGTGTTGAATGCCTCTCTTACTAATTACCAGAAAGTGAAAAAAGGTTGAATTGAGCAGACAGAGACAAAAATGAAACCCATACACATAATTTGGCCAAACGATCGTGTTTACACTTAGTCGGCCGGTGCGAGAAGTAAATCTCAGTGAATCCAGGGTTTTTGCAAGTTCGTGAGTCAAGGTTTTGCTTCATCTAATCTGAATTGCAAAGTAGTCAATGGAACGTTCATTAATTTTGCTTGTATTCACCTCATCTTTCGGGAGGAGTTATGAAACGAAAGGTGGAATCATAGTCCGTTTTAATATAATCGAACTAACCAGGAGCTGTACCTTATGTTAACCTCTAATTATCGTAACTTTAAAATTGACTAACCTGGTGCAACATGCGAGCTTCTATCCACGCTTTGATTGGATTGTCTTGAGGTAGTTTGCCTCAAAGATGAGACTATCTTTCAAACAGGTTTTCCAAATGATTTTTTTAAGTTAAGCAGTGAAAAACAAAATTTCAATGGTGAGACGTAGGCGTTTTTTAATTTCGATGAATAATCATTTAAGGTGATCCCGATGTGGACACTATGCTGCACCATTCTATTATCCTCTAGTCGAGAAAGCCTCACAGTATCACCTAGAAGAAATGCTGCTTGTTGTAGAGTGACCAAAGAGGAAAGCACCACACCGTTTAGCCACAGACGTAATACGTTGTTAGATGCAAGTCGGTATGTCATGAAACGGAAGAGCTGTATATATGACCCTATGATGTATTCGCAAATCAGCGGGCCAGCGAGCTCTTGAAATTTCGTAAAATGATGGTTAGCTCTTGTCAAGTGGGATATTCAAGATGAATGCTATTTGTGCCGCGTGGTTCACGACGTAGTTGTCTTCTAACATACAGACAAAATCAACTTGACTAAGTGGGAACTTAATAAATAATAAACTACTCCGCATTGTGTTGCGTCATCGCGTCCATCTGGCTGGAGAAATTTTCCAAGGAGTATTTTCGTGATGCCATCTCAAAGCAAAGACAGTCGATGGAAGAAGCCAGAAAAGTTAGAGTATCACTAGAGTAAGCATTCTACTTGGAGGATATTGCTTCCTGGGAGGGACAGCGGCAAGGTTGAAATATTAATTAAACGTTATGAGTTGTAAATCTACATGTTTATCAGAAACCAGTTCGATCGACATGTGTCACGCGACAAGCAGCGGAATTTAAGCGAATGGGTAAGCATCTTGCAAGTTTGCTTTCAGGAAACAGCCGGTGGTGAAATTACAAAATAATGTGAAATTAGTATAGAATAGCACTCCGTTCCTCTATATCAAAGAACTCCTTCTAAAATATGGTGTCTATGCTACTGCTAGCCATTATCATATCTTTTGGGCCTAAAACACCATAACGAGCAAACCATTTCCCTAGTGAATCAATCGTGTCCTTTGGCTTTTAGAACTTTCAGACACCTACCGTACGCTGCTTATATAACACGCTTGTAGATTTGGCAAATGTCAGTCACAGGTGATATTAGCCAGACAGCAGGGTTTAAATATGCTGGAGTTGTCATTTATTCTCTGTTTGTGTCTGTCTCCAGCTCACTAGGCAAGACTTTCTGTCGTCTTGGTTTTTCCTATTTCTGTACAGTGCTCACCGCTCATAAGATTTTTCAGTTTGCTAGACAAATGTCTTTGGATGCATGATAGCCTTGGTTTTCGACGATCCGATGTGACGACATTTCGGTTCATGTTGCACAGCTCTCAAAGGACAGATTTCATAACGAGGTAACCCTTCATCTAGCATGAATCGATTTTTCAATTCTCTGGAATCACTAATGTTTCCTTCCTTCATAAAAAATGCACTCCGCTGATGAAGCATTCTCCTTTGAATGCTGTACAAATACCGGAAGTTGAAAAAGTCAAATTCGTTACGATAGCGAATTCACTCATTATTTGATATTTCTGTAGATATAAAAGTTAAATTGGGCAAATGTTTGCAGAGAAAATAGCAGATTAATTCAAATCGGGCATCCTAAACTGCCTTCAGATAGCTTTGAGATTGACATTTTTTAAACGTTATTCAGCAAGGTGAGAATGGTCGACATATCACAACCCGCCCCACCATCTCACATATTTGCAGAAAGTGTCGTCAATCTTGACGTTATATGGTCTTGGCGGGGTACACAACTTAAACAAAACTTATTTATAGCATATTTTATGACAGAATAAAAATAAAATGCCATTTTCTTTCAAAAAAATGCAGAGAAACGTCATAGAAACTGTCATTAGGAAAGTTCTTCACTCGAATATATCCGGTTGCACAATAATGTGATTACCGTGCACATCTTAACAGACGATTGGGTATGGAGCTGGTAACATAGCACAGATTAACCTCAGTATGACATTTGAAAAAGCATAAGGGACTCGAGAACCGGGCGTTAGAATACGATTTTGTGCAGTAGACAACCCTCAGAGACCAACCTTTTGTTACTTTTTATTGTCTTGAAATCTAACCACCCTCTTGAGATGATCTCTTCGGCTTTCAGCCCTGTTAGTGTTGTGTTCTTCATGATTTGTTTCACATGGTTGTAATGTGTCCCACATGGCAACTACATGAAATGGAATACTTCTAAACTAGCTTTTTTCTGTCTAAAGCAACCTCGGGCCGCTGGGTATGGTGTGCTTTTAACGTGGTTGTTCGAATATGCTGGTAAATCTGTGTTTTGTCTTCACTAGGATATTTAAGCTCATCTGGCAGCGAAAATGGGTTCCAAAAACTAACCTCATCCGAATAAGTTACATTTAGGGGCTGATTCAACTATAAGTTGAGGGAAAAGTATAAGCTTCTATTCAGTTACACAGTGCATGTTAGTCTAAGTAATACTAAGATTTCTGGTCTCGCCAAGGGACAGGCAAGCCCATGAGCATCAGGGAGGGAAAGCATTGGCTACATCTTTCAACTATGTCCAATATTCTTCAACCCTTTGTGAAGATTCCCGTTGGATTCCAAGTTTGCATTGGAGCCAAGCACCAGTTTCTACGACTCGGTTATTACCATCCATGATGGTGATGAAGATGAGGTAGAATAAATACCACTCTGGTGGTATAGTATGTGGAAACTTGGCAAAATAAATAGCAACACAATCTGGATCTAACCTGAGGAATGTATCAAATCTAAACAGTCAGCTATGCAACACCTTCGTCCCCTCCGTAGTTGAATTTCAGGATTTCATATGTCCCATTAGTATCAAAATTATTTATCTTATCAACCAATACCGCAAAGTTTACTAAACACGAGCAATCTAATAAGTTGACTGCATGGTCAAGACTATTGAAAATACTCTCATAAACATAGCAGCACACCTGGTTACACAGTAACATTGAAAATATATGCCCTCGTACCCCAGCGGACATTTGACGCCACTCACTGAATGACAGGACATGGTGTGTGATCCGTTTGTCGAAAGAACTTCCTCTCAAAAATTTCATGGCTTCCTTTCTGTTCCGCATGCCACAATCATTATCTGATAGCAGTCATCTAGGAAGTAAATTAGCTCGCAATTCAAAAATTACAGGCATGACTTCCCGGTGATATTTGCACCTGCCTTACCTATCCTGAATTGAGGATTTGGAATAATTTGCGCTACTCTCCATCGGTTATGGAGAACATTCTCACTATCACCGTGCCCCGAATACCGTCCCAAAAAACCAAGATGTTTTTTCGTGCATTGGACTTTTATTTGTTTGCACACGAAACAACTGTTGGTATATGACAATTTGCTTCCTGATTTGCTGGAGATCACCTAACATAGTTTTCACAGCTTCTAACGCTCCTATTGTAGAAATCCGCTTTTGGATTGAATCACTTTGCTCGGTCGTTGCGGACTTTAAAAGACCACATTTTGAAAGGGGGAGCTTTTAGAGTTGGAACAACTATGCCGCCCTTCCCAGCCCTTCGAATACCACTTGAGCGGACCAATCAAGAGCCAAATCCTTTGAAAGATGAAATCTTACAGTCGTCGGCTCTCGAGTGACTACTACAAATGGCCGAAAGAAAGCAGTCTCTCCAGAGAGTTGTTTTGCTACTGAAATGGGCTTCATAGGCCGAACAAAGCGTTCTTTTACGTTTCGTCTCCCCCAGATGTGGTGATTCCGTAGTAGTCCGATACAGCCTAACAGCAATGAATTCAATTAATGGATTTCGCTATCACACAGAACCTTGTGCTGAAATATCGTTTAATGATTCCACAGTGTGAGAGCCATATTTACCGTCTATCACGCAATATGATTCTATTCAGATAACGCAGATTTGCTGAGCCCCAGTACCAAACTTGTCTCACACTGAAAGTGAGAAGACTAGAGTAGATTGTAAATAGTCTTCATGGGATCGCGTACAAGTTCGGATTCAAGTGGTATTCTCTCGTTAAATTCTGCTTACCGATTTTAGGCTCACCTGCGTAGTGGAGTTTCGCTAACTTTCCCCATGCTTAAGATGCCTGTGGACAGTACAAATGTTCACCGTTTGTTTGTCGCAGGTGATTCGCAGCAGGATCACAATATGGATGCACTTAATCTAGCGTATAACTTTTTTTGACAACAGTGGTATTCATATAAGCGTTTGACTGCACAGTAGCTAAAGAGGAAAACAGTTGTCCCAGAAAGTTGGTAAGTAGATCTAAACATCTCGATGAAGTATTTTGCCCTGGGCCACACTCTCTGGCGCAGATCTTTAAACAATCAAACTCATCGCGTTCCATGCCACTCATTATATGTGTGTGGCTTGATCTAAGTCCATCGAAAGTTGCCCTCAAGTGACAGTGAAAATTTTCGTGACTAGGCCCAAAAATTCAAATATGCTAGTCGTAGAGATAGTTCTATCTTTTCACCTTCAATATCTTACTCACATTAGATTACCTTGCGTACATTTAACCGCCGAGTCCTGGCGGTGCGGAGTTTTATGTCTAGAAAGTTCGCTCCTTTAGTGATCATGGACAGGACTGACATATTCGGCACTGCGTGGTCTTTTTCTTATTTCTAAAACTTTCATCTAGTTTTAATTCTTTTAAAGGGGTTATATTTGCTAAAAGTTAAATAAGCTCCGAATTCCTTGAGTATTGAATGCATCCTAAAATTTTGTCTGGCTGAGTCCATTGCGTTGCTACTACTGAGTTTTAACCTGTATAAGATTATTTGGAAGTGCAAAAGATCCACACGGCAGTCCAATGCACAAAAAAAAACACTGGAATGCATGAAATTTAGTATCTAAGATCTTAGCTGTTCTCTTGTTGTGCACTATACATTGTGACTTCATTGATTGCACCGTGATCTGTGCTTTCGTTGGGAGTCAGCGAGGACTGCGACGATTTACCACTATTCAACCAACTGTGTAGCTGTGTCATCCGTTGGCTCAGACCCAACTTAATTAGACGACAGTCGGGTACCAGTGTGTATTTCTAGTACATGGTTATCCGTGATATCTATGACCATCAACTGGCATATACGTTGAAAATCCAATTCTCAACTCGTCACAGTCACTCACAACCCTCGAACCGCCTAAAGCAATGTTTCTTCTTAAGCACACGAGCTGCATATCACAATGTACCTGTCATCACCACTGAACTTGACGGTCGTGACACTTGATACCATACGGCACCAGTAAACTAAATCCGTGGGAGTCACGGCGACTTCTCCTGATGAATGGAGTTTCTGGACGAATTTTCGCAACCAAATGTTGTGGAATTATATGGCTATGGCCTTCTGGTTTGTTTGTTGCAATAGCCGACAAGCCGGTGACAAAATATTCAAGCTAATGACACACTGAAAACAAAAGTACTGAAATTATCAATATGGGCGTCAAGATGGCTGATACAGGGAACGAAAGATTAGTTAGGGTCTGAAGACTTGAGAAAGCAACAGTCAGTACGATGGCTCGGCAGCTTCCACATTTTTTAAGTGGATTTTACAAAATAAGTATTCCTACACATCCGTGAGTTACACGCAAGCGCAACCTAATGAGGGTCGTTAGCCCTCATCATCCAGAACATCTACCTGAACTCGCACAAGAACCATCAAACAGGAAGATAAGAAGACGTATTCACAAGTAACATGGAAAGAATGACGAAAATCAAAGAACGTCGGATTACCATATCTTAGCAATTTAATTCTTCATCTTGACAGTCTAAAACCCGTCAATTCGACTCAGTAGACTGCCAAGTAACACGGTTGTCACGCTTCCCGACAGAGCTAACTGAATTCATGTTCGCGCTATATTAGTTCAAGCGACCATCTCTGATGAGCGAAAACCATTGCATATTGTTTTCATGTCCATCTGGTAACTTAAACAATCAAGTTTTTTTTCAATATTGTGCGCTCTGTGACATTTTCGTTGGAATGAGCAATTCATGCTAACCCCTTGGCAGCAGCTTGTCATAAATTAAGCGTTCGGTAGCACCGCTTGTCCTAACTAAACCGGTTTTTCTTTGGTCGGGGTTTTCCTTCCGGAAGGCGATTGATACACTAGTAAATTTTCAAGGTTACGTACCAGATCGAAATATTGTGGCCTAAGTTGTGATAATTGATCCAGGCACCAAAATCGATCATAAATGACCGTAGAAATGGGGAATTATATTTGACTGAGCTGGATAAATTCAATATAAGGTAATCGATAATGTAAGCTTAAGTAAATCACCCAGAAATGGGCTACAGTATGGCCAAGATATGTTACCTACAGAAGCAAATAGGGGTGATTTCTCAAACACTTTGATAAGGTGTCAACTTAGGAAAGACACGTATTTTAGTTATAGGGAGTGGTATTGAGCATATAGGTTTTTACGACCTACGCTTTCCAAAAACAAACCACACAGTTTTCACTACGTAACAACCATTGTGAAGGAAATTATGGTAAATTTTGCAAAAAAAAGCTTCAACTTTCAATCTCAAAGCCAATGCTTCTGGCCTTCAGCGTCTAGGAGCTCAGTCTAAAAAAGAAGAAACATTGGAGCATTGGAAAAACCTTTACTGTGTTAGCCGCTTTCAGGCTTTTGAAGGAGATTCTTACGCCAGGACGCATGTGAACCGTTATTAAACCAAGGCGTGATATGTGACCGGTACTTCTTGTTTGTAATTTATTTCAATTTTCTGCTACTTGTTAAGTTTGTTTACTCCTTTCTGTTAACAGTATGTCAGAACAACAAATCGCCACTGTCTGCCGATCAGTGCTCAGAGCGCTGGCTTTCCTGCACGACCATGGCATCATTCATCGTGACGTTAAATCCGATTCAATCTTACTGTCTAGCAAGGGGCAAGTGAAACTATCCGACTTTGGCTTCTGTGCACAAGTGAGTATTCAGGTTCGGGTTACCTTCGCGTGTTTATTCATTACGTCGTACTAACTGGCTCGCCAAAGAGTACGTTGACAAGTCTTAGAATTCAAACTTCCGAGTTCACGATACCATGGTAAGCGAGAGTGAAGTTGGTTCACAATGGAGGGCTTCATGTATTTAGCGCTCTGGGTTGCAGTAAACTCTGTCCTACCGTGGAAATAGTGCGCAAACCTACACCATATTAAACCGAATGAAAACAGCCGAAACATATATCGCGCATTTTTTCATTCACAGCTGACCGAGCAAGTGTTGCGGAGGAGAAGTCTGGTCGGAACCCCTTACTGGATGTCCCCTGAAGTTATAAGCCGAAAACCATATGGAACTTCGGTTGATGTGTGGTCCATGGGAGTGCTTCTTATTGAGATGGTTGATGGCGAACCGTCATATTTCAATGAGCCTCCGATTAGAGTGATGCGAAGAATCCAGACGGATGCAGTACCTCATCTGGCCAATCCCCACAAAGTATGTCTGGCAAAGCAGTTTACAGTGCATCCGTACATCTATTCTTTTTTTATACAAGTTTACTCTTGAAACACCAGTAATAGAGAATGAAACTTTGGAACGAAGAGGTACTTGATTACAGTTGGCTGGCTTTCCTAATGAGTGTAAGTTCAATCAATCCAATAGAGTGTATCGTTAGAATAATCCAGTCACCAGCTACTCTCTTTCTCTGGGAACTTGTATTCGATTTCGGCATGGGAGCTAAGTGGAGAAACTTTGATTATTTGAACATATATGTTTTGGAACCGGCATGATGGAGGGTTATTCGGGGCGATAATTTACTGTCAAATTATTTGCACTAAGTCACAATGTCACTCAAAGTCACTTAGCAGAGACTTGTTATTTTGCGATTGTCACAGACGTTGACGTTCTAATCTAAGGTTACCCACTAGCCTGCCCATCTTTGCAATACCTTGAAAATCTGAAAATATCAAATTTTAACATACACCGTAGTGGGATACGATGTTATAATCCGGCGTTTTGAATGCCTTGGACAAACTTTTCTACAAACTTATTTCACTACGTTGTGTTTTGACATTAAATTTCACATGGTACACACCACATGACGCGTAATCTGCTTAACAAGATCCAAGCCAAATTTGGCCTCGAACTCCTAATACAGTTCAAATCCCTTTAGAACTCAAACTGTACCCTGTCCAGGTATACGCTGAGGAGTTATCAACATGTTCGCTGGTTTCCTGCAATGAGGTTATCAGTTTTCAAAGAGCCATGCTTTTCGTCATGGGCGTAAACAACAATTAATATTGGCTTCTGATCAAGGTCAGAAGCATCAATTGAATAGTATCACGTAAACCATAGCCCAGCAGGGAGGTATTGCAATAAAGAGTGGAAAGAAATGCATGTCTAATGTTTTCCGTTTGTCGAGATTGGCAAATGGACTGCAGAATGTTAGACAGCGGTCGAGGATAGGTGCATCGTCAGTGCGGGAATGGACCGATAACGTCACCATTTCTGTCCATGCCTATACAAATTTCAAGTACTGTTTCATTAATTTAACGTGATTGGTTGGTTGCGTGATGGCTTTCAAATGTATATTAATTGGAATATGAATAGCGCTGTAGCTCCATTTATTTGATGAGAGCAAATTACACTGCTGTTCAGTCGCCTGTACCCTAATGGTTAACTGTTCAACTACCGGCCGTTAGGTCGCTGATGTGAAACTCACTGTGTTCCGTGAGCTGGCAACCTTGGTGGTTCCCAGTCATGATGAAACAGCTCTACAGTGCCTCTCGACTTTTCAGCACAGACTGGCCTCACTAGCAAGACAAAATCTCAATTAATATTCCGAACTCCCCTCACGCTATCATCATTTCCTTACGTTTAATCGGTTCGCCTATTTGGCATTCCGGTCCTTCCGTCACGATTTGTCCGTTGCATTCAGTTTTCTTGCATCTGATTTATTGATCGAATGACATTCTGTTTAGTAGTATTAGCAGTTTTTCTTTGATCCCATTCGATCGTTCCTTTTTGTCCGCTTTTATGACCCCCAAGTGGTTCAGAATCCAGTCATTTTGTACCTCTTTTATACGCGGAGGAAAGTGAATCTCGTGAATGTTCGTGGTTTTATTGGCCGATGGTGGGTGGCTATGATTTGTGACGACTCGTGCAAGTCAAGCACGACAAGCAGAGCACCAGACAAACAAACAACCGAACTGTCCGTAGTCCGCGATGTCGGGCAAGAAGTATGTCTACGAATTCCAAGATGATCCCAGTTTGCTCAAGAAAATGGAGAACCCCTCTATCCAGAGTTCAAGGCTCCTTTGCAGTGGAAGAAAGCCGCAACTAGCTGTAGTGGCATGCGCCACTAGTTTCGATTTGCAGTACTTCCTTCAAAGTTGAAGTCCTGCGTGCTATTCTTGGGCTTTTTTTTCACGACCCGAATTTAGGCGACTCAAAATTGGGGAAGCCATTATTCGCTTTAGGATGGGTAGGATAGTTATCCCCCTTAGGTTAGAACAGTTGTTTCAGGTTCATTTTTTAACACTTATCACCACTGACTGTTTTTAACATGCGAACTACTTGCGCAGATGGGATACTTCCATCACCGAATAACGCTGTGGGCAGCTAACCTAACTCACTAACTGGATGACGCTTTAAAGCAATAAGAATTGGAACTTTGGAAAGTTGTGGTAGTCCAAACCCGCACTATTCTGATAATCCGAGCTTACTAATAAGTGTTTCGTCACTTTGTTCAGTTTTGGAAAATCCTATATTTTTCATCCTAACACAACTATGAAATAACTGTTGATCCCCTTTAGGCGTTTTCTTTGGATTAGCAGGGAATGACATTTAATCAAAACACCAACGAAGTTTTGTTTACTACTTTATCGTAGACAGTGTCGTCTGCTTGCTGGTTCAACTGAAAACCACTAAGCAACTAAACCCAAGGAGGACTGGACAGCGAATTACAAGTAATACCAGGCTAACTTAGGGACCATGAAAAAATATTGAACAATAGCAGATTTCATTATTGAAATAGCACAGAACATTGGGGATTGAAAACCAGCTTACATTCCACTTTTGCTGATTACTGTGCAGGACTAAAATTCCAGAAGGATGCGGATTGTTAGACAGGATTTTGATGTAAAACAATCATAGAGAATTCTTTGTGAAATCAATAACTAAGCTAGATGTTTGATAAATCCCCTCGAGAGAAGATCTATTTCAAAAGGACTGCCTTGAGGATGCTCTACGGGTTCACTTTATTGCGAGCAAACGTTTAGGTTCCAAAAGGTTCACAAATTCTCTGCAGGAAATCAGCCATTGTGATTTTACATTGGTTTGTTCCCTGTCGGAAACCTTTGTATTACAGGCATAATTCGTTTAACAAAGATCGATCTTTTAGGTGTGTGTATTATGAGAATATAGAAGAACTGACCGAGTTATTCCGAAAAACAATCGCCTTGACGGTGACGTTTCAGTGAGCGGTGTTCAGTGCTTGGAACAGCTCGAGGTATCATTCTTGTGATCAAAATATATCAACTAGATGTCACTTGTAGCATTTCGTCCGCCCATTGATCTCTTCGCTGACATTTCTATGTCAGCTGGGACGGAATCAAGTAGGCTTCCGACTGTGAACCCTTCAATTTGTTTGCAATATTGACCTTGCGACCTGGAACTGACATTCTGGGTGCAGAACAAGGTTAGACGTTCTGCGTCGATTGCTGTTCAGCTGCTCACAGGTTTGAGCATCTCACCTTCGCTTCTCAGTTTGCCGCTACATGAAATCTCAGGCTTTACCAACAGCATGAACCACAAAATAGTAGAAATCAAACTGAATCATATCCCCAGCTTTGCACGGAATGTTTCAGTTTAGGCTTCCATGGTCAGTATTACAAACCAATTGAAGTTGTCGCCATTGGGAACCCACATACTACTGGCTAGCATTGAAATGCGGATGGAATATCTCATTCAACATGTGATATCCCTCAAAAGGCACGACGATGGTATATTATTGGTCATCTGATCAGTACAAGAAACTCTGGAGCACTAACAGGAGCCGTATCGGAACGCCACACACTCACACATCAAGTGAACAGCGGAGCATGAGACGAGTAACAGAGTTGCTCTTCTTGTTATTCACCTAAACCTTCTTCGTGAGTTGATTCGCCGGAAGTGCACTTGGATGAAACATTACCTACATTTGTCCAGTTTCGTGCCAATGCGCAACAAAACACATTTAGCTTCATACGATGGAACGAAAGATATTTGTATGGAAACATATTCGATACCAAAATTAAATATCCGGAGGAAATATGTCACCGATAGGTATGTCACCCAACAGATACATCATGATCCGGGTTAAGGAATTACACATCTGTTCACGCACAAAAATAGCATTTTCCCATATTTTGCAATTCCGAGGAGAGGATTCTGGTGGGATTTTAAACTCAGCAGTCAAAACAAACCTACCACGCTAGCAAACCTATAATCATCTACAACTACAACTGAATCCTAACATTTGCAGTCAAATCTCCACTACTCAGTACTCCATTCTTGATCTCGTCCACCTAATCAAGTGTGGTTCCTCGGACAACGAAGTTGGAAGAACTGAGGAGTAATGCTGACGTAGAAAGATGTAAAATAATAGTCCGACTTACCATAAGCAAACACAAATACAAATCAGAGATGCTGCGCAAAATACTTATTTTTCCACAAGGCGCACTTGCTTGTTTTTTCCAGGTCGTGTGCCAGACCTATTTGGTCGCCTACTGTTTTATTCAGTTTGTCATGTTGCCCTATAACTAGGGGCGTTTGTTTGGTGTTTTTCCGATGACTAACCGCACAATCTAAAGTAAGGAACAGTGGAAAGCAACTGGAAGGAAAAGAAAGCCCTTTTCTCTCATTCTGCAGGGCAATTATTGCTAAAGTAGCTATATACACTCATTTCTAAACAAATTTGGTTTCGCGGGAGACTCCGATGGAACCCAGCTGAATCTCTCCTTCGTGATGCCTCCAGGCAACGGAATATGCTGCACCAGGCCGCCTCATGTCTCAATCGCTACTACGATATTCGAGATATCGCACTACGAGTATATGTTCAATGCAGTACTCATTAGGTTGCTGAAAATTCTTCGACAGCCCACGACCCGTTTCACCCCCTTTGGGGCTCATCAGGTAGGCACCGTACAGCTAAAGTACTTTGTATACGACAATCACTCCTCTACGTGGTGACCACTTCATTTGGTCTCTCATAGTATTATCAAGACTCTCTGAACCCTGCTCAATGTAAGAAACACAGTTCTATCATAACTCAACTCTACGAGGACCATTCACAATGGTTCTTTTCCATTTTGAGGACTAACTGGTAATATATTAGTATCAAGTATTAGGCACGGACAAACGTCATCAATCGAGAGGACCACTCCACTGCTTCCCTACTGGTCCCGTCAGTGTTCGTTTTGCAGCTGTTTCGCCCTCATTGGTAAAAAACATTCTCT